TTTAGAGCTGGTCTAGTAGTGCTCTAGTAGTGGTTTATACCTGGTTTTAGAGCTGGTCTTAGACAAGGTTTAGACCTGGTTTAGATCTGGTTTAGACCTGGTTTTAGACCTGGTTTAGTCCTGGTTTAAAGCTGGTTTAGTTATGATTTTAGACCTGGGTTTAGACCTGTTTTAAACCTGGTTTTAGATCTGGTTTAGACCTGTTTTAGACCTGGTTTTAGATCTGGTTTAGACCTGTTTTAGACCTGGATTAGGCCTGTTTTAAACCTGGTTTTAGACCTGGTTTAGACCTGGTTTAGTCCTGGTTTAGTCATGGTTTTAGTTCTAGTTTAGAGGCGCGGCACACAGGCGAATGGGAGGGTATATTTTGCCCTTTTGCGGCTGGGTACACCACCTAAGCCTAGTTATTTATCCTAACATTACTAAACAGCCCACAGTCTGGTACTGGTCCGTGGCCCGGGGGTTGGGGACCCCTGTTGTAAATTAGATTCTATTGTCTAAAAAACATGTATTTTTGTTGTTATTTCTTTATCAGAATGGACTTTGAGTATCAACGGGCCCATATTAAACTATTTTCTGATCTATGTTATAATGTTTCCTCATCATGTAGGGGCTGAGTTCTTCTCTCAAACAAAAGCTCCACCTTGTGAGCTCATTAGGTACAGGAAGTGCTTCCACTGTGTTTTTAAACTCCATACACCTTCACTAGAATTATTTGGATGATTTCAGACGAACAAAAGGCAAAATGTAGCTGTTAACTTGAAAACTAACACCAGGACCAGAGCATTTTGAGCTTTGGAGATGTAGACAGAGTAATAATGAAGGATTTCTCAAATATGAATAAAACAAAACACAACTCCAGGTCTGTTTTTGATCTGGTAACAACATTATAACATAACTTGAAGCTCAAAAGAGTCAAGTTTACGTAATATAGGACCTTCACGCATATCCCATAATTGCAAAATCAAGACCATTTTAGTATTGCGACAGCATTCAGCCCCAGCACTCCAATCATCTTTAAATCAGCCACAGTTCTCCGATCCACCTTGTAATGTCACTCACGCTATACTCAACGCATTCACCTTGGATTACGCCCCAGTAAAAGACGTAAACAAAACAGCAAAACAGATTTTAGAGCTGTCAAACCAGACCACTATTTATAAATGTGCAACTTACTTCTGGCAATCACGTCAAGCGTTCATGAAAGGATACGGCGCTCACTTTATCCCGGAAAGACTCATCGGATGTTTCACCGTGAAATAGAAATATATGACTGCTGACTGGCCTTTCAGTTTTCCATAAAATAATAATATGACTCTTGTGTGTACTGAGTGTTTGTTTCCTTTGTTTTTGATGACAGTGTCCTTTGACTGAAGCGTGGGTTTGACCTCATTATGACCCCTTTCTCATTTAATATTTATAATCACCAGTTTAAAGCACAGGGGGAGTGAATAATGAAGAAATGACACGCAAACAAAGCATTTTAAATTGCATAGTACTCGATTGCATGTTGAAATGTCATGAAAATGTAAAGCAATTATGTTTAAAGGTTTTACATTACACAAACTTGAGCTTTGAGCCATGTTGATGAGTTTTATTTCATCCACACATGTTTGAGTAACCCTTCATTATTAGTCTGTCCTCATCTCTAAAGCTCAAAATGCTCTGTTCCACCTTGTGATGTCATGTAGTGATCATTTTCAAGTTACCTTTTACCATGGGTGTAGTGGGTGTGGTACGTGGGGGTACGGCATCCACCCACTTCTCCAGACAAGAGATATTAAAAAAAAAAACAACTAGAAAAGCACTCAGAGAGCGCAGACCTCCGCCAAGGACTACCCCCATTTTTTATATAAATTGCGATAAAATCAGTCTTCTGGATCAGATCCGGATCAGCCTTTGGAATATGAAAGAGGATCCCATTGTCCATCCCTGAGTCAAATTTCATGGGGTTTGGTCAATAATTAACCGAGATATTGAGAAACAAAATTTTTGGCCCCATTTACCACAATGTTAACTAAAATTTCAAAGTGATCCAGAATCCAGGATTTCTTCCGGATCACCCCCAAAATGAAATCAGTTCTTCCTTTTCACATTTCCAACAAATCCTGAAAATTTCATCAAAATCGGTCCATAACTTTTTGAGTTATGTTGCTAACAGACAAACAAACAAACAACAAACAAACAAACAGACAAACGCCGGCAAAAACATAACCTCCTTGGTGGAGGTAAATATAAAATAGCTACAACTTAAATGTCAAACTGGAGCTTTAGCAATGGTGAAAATAAACTGCATAGGCTCATGATATCTGCAGGACTGTCCTATAAAGACCTGAGACATGAGGGACCAGGACTGCACCAGGACTAAAACAGGACTAAAAGAGGTCTAAACCAGGTTTAAACCAGAACTGAACCAGGACTGAGCGTCAGGACGGGGCCGGAGGTGCACCTGCATAGACTGTCTGGTGACTGCAGGCGAAAGGACCGGTGCAGAGCTCCGCCCCACGGGGCTAAAAGCCGTCACCCGATCACGCTTTGCGGACACCCTGCTCCATGGACTCGGGGTTCTCTCTCTCTCATTCTTAAGTTCAAGATTAGTCCTGGTTTAGGTCTAGTTTAGATCTGGTTTATTTGTGGTTTGGTCCTGATTTAGTCCTGGTTTAGACCTCGTTTAGACCTGGTTAAGTCCTGGCTTAGTCCTGGTTTTGTCCTGGTTTAGTCCTCGTTCAGTCCTGATTCAGTCCTAATTTAGACTTGGTTTAGACCCGGTTTAGTCCTGGTTTAATCCTGGTTTAGGCCTTGTTTAGATCTGGTTTAGTCGTGGTTTTGGTCCTGTTTTAGTCTTGGTTCAGACCTGGTTTAATCCTGGTACAGTCCTGGTTCGGACCTGGTTCAGTTCTAGTTTAGTTCTGGTTTAGACCTGGTTTAGTCCTGTTTTAGTCCTGGTTCAGTCCTGGTTTAGGCCTAGTTTAGATCTGGTTTAGTCGTGGTTAGGTCCTGTTTTAGTCCTGGTTTAGTCCTGGTACAGTCCTGGTTCGGACCTGGTTCAGTTCTAGTTTAGACCTGGTTTAATCCTGGTTCAGTTCTGGTTTAGTCCTGGTTCATGATAAATAAAAAACAAACAAACAAACAAACAAACAAACAATCTATCAGACACCTATGTGTATTTCAGCATGTCAGTTTGAGTATATAACATTTGGGGTGGAGGTGTGTGTGTGTGTGTGTGTGTGTGTGTGTGTGTGTGTGTGTGTGTGTGTGTGTCGGGGGGGTTCATCACATCAATGACGTCACGAGTTGCGAACCCCCACTTCAAAGTCCCCACGTCCTCACCGCTGCCTTTTACCTTTAGTTCATTACAGACTGACAGTTCCTGTAGTTGTGAACAGGAAGTCGATGCCTGCGTCTTTAGTACTGAGCCGTGAGCCGTAGATCAATACTGAATTGACGGGTTGAAACGGGACCATACGTTAATAATTCAGTGGTGCTTCGCTCACTTCAGAATATGTTAAGCACCTGGATCAAGTCACATAATGAGCTACAAATATTATTCTACTTAATTAAAAAACTAAAAACCTGCAGCTCTCTGGTGAACTGTTTTGAGACGCTGCACCTCATATAAAATTCAAAATGAGCCTGTTGCCATTTCTCAACATCTGAAATATTGTCTAATGAGCAGGTCCGTCAACACAAACTTTGGGGCCCGGGGCAAGAAGCCTTTTACTGTTGTGGAATTTCTACTACAAACATTAAAAAGAAATGAAAAGTCACGAACTAAGGAGTCTAATATATTGAGCAACTGAGAGGAAAAGAGTCGTCTGTCCCTAAACTAGAGATGGGCATGATTAGTAGCTTAATCGATAATGGATCATTAAGAATTTCGTCGATTACGTTCATTTTTAAAGGTTGTATGGAGGATTTTTTTTTGTTTTTTTGTTCAAGTGAATTAGCATTAGAGAGATGCAGTAGCCTTGTAATTATGATGACCAAAAAAAAAAAGACAATAAAAATTCATCAACTCTGGACGTGGTGGGGCTAAACATTTGCCAATAGATAACGACACTGCCTCGTTATCTGTGAGCTGACAGGCTGTCAATCAATCCCTACGTTTCTAGCGTAACTGACTTGCCTGCGCCGCCGGTACGTGGTTTACGTACGCCTGTCACGCAGTCCACAGACGCAAGACGCACAGACGCTGTTTACTCCACCAACGCAACAGTTCTTAGCGGCTTTTTTTGACCTATATCTTCCTCGCAGTTCGCACAAAGTTTGTTGCAATGGCGACAAGAATCCAGGAGCAGTTCCTGTTTTTGGTCCTGGTTCAGTCCTAGTTCAGTCCTGGTTTAGTCCTGGTTTAGTATTGGTTTTGTCCGGGTTTAGACCTGGTTTAGTCCTGGTTTAGACCTGGTTTAAACCTGGTTCAGTCCTGTTTTGGTCCTGGTTCAGTCCTGGTTTAGTCTTGTTTTAGTCTTGGTTTAAAAGTGGATTCGGCGTTAATTTTTACTTTAAAGCATTCATTTAACCGGCTGTAATCAGGGCAGTCTCTCGTGATGTCACCAACTACTTGAAACCGCAGAGGCCACTGACGAACGCTCTGTTGATACAAACAAATAATCCGTCTCGGCAGTGAAAAAAGCAAACAAAAAAACAAAACAAAAACAAACCAAAAAAAAAGCCGCTTTAGTGTTTAGTTGCGCTTCAAACAATTCATTTAACTTGCTTTCAGAACTGACAATGGCTCCCGCCTCCGTTCCGAACAACAGACGCCAAAATGTAGATCACAGCTTTGTATTCCCACATGTTAACACAAGACAGAAAAAAAACAAACATTGCTGGCAGCTACTGTAATGTGCACTGGTTTCAACATCTGCGTTCCTTCTCTCCCAGCGCACTACAGTTTGATGCTTGACTTGGTCTGTCAGCTTTGATGGGAAAATATAGTGTATTTAGAAGTGTTAAGCTGTGTGTGTAGGCGGGTGTACTGCTCAAAGGCACGCACTCACCTGAGACTTAAGGTTAGCCGTTCATCTTTTGCCCTCAGGAGGTCGCCTATGGAAAATGTGGCCGTGCCCAGGAAGCAGCTCTGAAAAGGAGAAGAAACGGAAGCTTTTAGTGAGGATTTACGCAGAGGTTAAAAGGTCCAATTACACTGTTTTCTGACATGTTGTAATGTTGTTTCCTCATCACAAACAGACCTGGAGTTGTGTTTTGTTTCATTTTCCACATGTTTAACGCACAAACAGTGTTGGGGAGTAACAGATTACATGTACCAGAGTTATGTAATCAGAGTACAAATTATGAGTAACTGTATTCGGTTACAGTTACTGTTTCAGTGAGTGGTAATTGGATTACAGTTACTTTGTTGAAATAAATGGATTACACAGAGGGATTTTCCTGTTTTCACATTTTGGGCTTTTCCATTTTTTTGTTTGTTTTGTGTGGTTTATTTTTTGTTTGGTAATTCACTCATTGCCGGACACTAAACCAGGTCTAAATCACGTCTAAAACCACGTCTAAACCTAGGTCCAACCCAGCTCTAAACCAGGTCTAAATTTGGTCTAAACCAGGTCTAAACCAGGTCTAAATTAGGTCTAAACCAGGTCTAAACCAGGACTAAAGCAGGACTAAAACTAGGTCTAAACCAGGACTAAAACCAGGTCAAAACTAGGTCTGAACCAGGACTAAACCAGGACTAAAACCAGGTCTAAACCAGGTCCAAACCAGGTCTAAACCAGGTCTAAAACCAGGTCTAAACTAGGTCTAAACCAGGACTGAAACCAGGTCTAAAACCAGGTCTAAACCAGGACTAAAACCAGGTCAAAACTAGGTCTGAACCAGGACTAAACCAGGACTAAAACCAGGTCTAAACCAGGTCTAAAACCAGGTCTAAACTAGGTCTAAACCAGGACTAAAACCAGGTCTAAAACCAGGTCTAAACTAGGTCTAAACCAGGACTAAAACCAGGTCTAAATCAGGTCTAAACCAGGACTAAAACCAGGTATAAAGTAGGTCTAAACCAGGACTAAAACCAAGACTAAAACCAGGTCTAAAACCAGGTCTAAACCAGGACTAAAACCAGGTCAAAACTAGGTCTGAACCAGGACTAAACCAGGACTAAAACCAGGTCTAAACCAGGTCTAAAACCAGGTCTAAACTAGGTCTAAACCAGGACTAAAACCAGGTCTAAAACCAGGTCTAAACTAGGTCTAAACCAGGACTAAAACCAGGTCTAAATCAGGTCTAAACCAGGACTAAAACCAGGTATAAAGTAGGTCTAAACCAGGACTAAAACCAAGACTAAAACCAGGTCTAAAACCAGGTCTAAACCAGGACTAAAACCAGGTCAAAACTAGGTCTGAACCAGGACTAAACCAGGACTAAAACCAGGTCTAAACCAGGTCTAAAACCAGGTCTAAACTAGGTCTAAACCAGGACTAAAACCAGGTCTAAAACCTGGTCTAAACTAGGTCTAAACCAGGACTAAAACCAGGTCTAAATCAGGTCTAAACCAGGACTAAAACCAGGTATAAAGTAGGTCTAAACCAGGACTAAAACCAAGACTAAAACCAGGTCTAAAACCAGGTCTAAACCAGGTCTAAAACAGGATTTAACAGGACTAAATCATGTTGCATGGACCATGTCTCCTCCTTTTCTATCAATAATATTTTTAATACGGTTCAGTAAAGTCTGGACTTTTTTTATTTTCTTTTAGCAGAAAAAACATCTCATGTGAAGGTCTCCTGGTCTTTGCTTCTCTACAGCAAATCAAGTAATCCAAAGTATCCAGATTACGTTACTCACTTTAAGTAATTTAATAGGTTACGTTACAAACTACATTTTAGTGTGTGTAATCTGTAATCTGTAGGGGAATACATTTTAAAAGTAACCTTCCCAACACTGCACACAAATCCTCCATATTTCCACCTGTTTTTAAACTCCATACACCTTCACTAGAATCATTTGGAGGATTTCAGACTTGGAATGGCCAATCTTTACTCAACAAAAGGTAAAATGTAGCTGTTAACCTTAAAACCATCACTACTTGACATCAAAAGCTGGAACAGAGCATTATGAGCTTTGGAGATGTACACAGACTACCGAATTTTTATTTTTTTGACTATAAGGCGCACTTGAAATCCTTCAATATTCTCAAAAATCGACAGTGCGCCTTACCTGCCTGACCTCGAACTGATTTTATGTGGCACACGGCGCTCAAAAATCTGCCAAAATGTTTTAGTACGACTTCGGTAAGCTACGAAGCCGCACAGCTCGATGGATTGTCGGAGCATTACGGCTACTGTAGTTAGGAGCCACGCGGAGTAAAGCCCAATTTACGGTCCTTAGTTTGACAGAAGCTGAACCGCATCAGCCACAAGGAGCGAGCTGTTTTTTCAGAGCTTATAGTTTATGCAAATCAGCCATGTGGTTTTAAGTTTTTTCTGTAAAACGTAAACAAATGTGCGCAAATCTGCATTAAACACATTTTTACTCAATGTATATTTGAGTCGTCCTTGTAGGAAATCCACATTCACCAAGGCAGGGAGACAACGCCGGGCGAATTACGCCACGATCCGCCGATGGATCGTGGACGCCTGGACTAAGGATCAGTCTCGTCCGCTTGTTTCACTTAATGTGCCTTATAATCCAGTGCACCTCATGTATGAAAATAGACGAGAGAATTCAACATTGCTGATATTGCGCCTTATAATCTGGTGCGCCTTATAGTCCAAAAAATACGGTAATAATAAAGGTTAATAAATAATAAAGGTTACTCAAATATGTGTGAAACAAAACACAACTCCAGGTCTGTTTTTGAGAACTGAACAACATTCTAACATGGCTCAAATCTCACACGAGTCCACTTCACCGCATTATAAAGTGTTTTCATGTTATCGTAATTCAGTGAGACTTAAAGGTGCGCTACGTAACCTTTCCGGAGGGGGTTCTGTGACCGTTTTGTCTCCATGGAGCTGATACCGGTTTGCTTAGACCCTTCAACACTTTGGAATCAAATACATCTATCGCAAGGGAGACAAGCAGGCAATGCCACAAATGACAGGTCCGATCTGTGGCGAGGCAGCTCCTCTCAGTGTGGGGCCCATAGATTATAATTTTCATTCTAAGACACAAACACACACACATATATCGGACACACATATCACACACTTCCAAGGCACTCAAAGCGTTTTCTCTCTCATTCAATGTCTCTCTCTTTTTAATTTTATGATGATTATTTATGTTTTGATTTGTTTGTGTTGTGATTTTACTTTGAATTACTGTGTGTACGAATTGTAGCCAGGCTGGTGCCACCTAATACCTCCGCTCAGTTTGATTTCTCTCCAGCGACTAGATCAGGAATCAGAATAAACTAGAGCAGGGGTGTCAAACTCATTTAGGTCCAGGGGCCGTATCCAACCTACTTTGATCTTAAAGGGCCGGATCAGAAAACTCATGTCATATAAACTCTCAAAAATAGCAATAAGTTCAAATATTTGAGAAACACAAATCTATTACAGAAATCATTTTTAATTGATTTTACAAAATATTGTAATATTATGAACAACCTGAAACTTTTAGAGAAAAATGCAATTTCAACACAATGTTTTAACATGAACTTGTGTGCAAATAGGAATAAATCAATTTTTTTTGGAAAACCCTGCCCTCGGCTCCACTTTTCTCATTTTTGACATTTTGCTGATGAGGGTGTCACGGTCAACAGTCAAAACGATCGTCCTTTAAGAGCGTTTGGAAAGAAGTTAAGTCTTCATTTGTGCTGCTCTGGTGGGAGGGGCCACGTACAGACACACTGGAGACACTGATATGCTCAGCACCGCAGAAAATTACCAATATTTTAATAGAAAATATAATTAAAATATTTTTGTAGAAAATCAGCCAAGGGCCAGATTAAAGGTCTTGGAGGGCCGGATCCAGCCCCCGGGCCGTATGTTTGACACCTGTACACTACACGGTTTGCAAGAACATTGGAAGTTGTAGACCGCGCACCAGCCAATCACCGAAGAGCTGTGAAGCCATGACGTGAAACTCAAGCGTCTGTCTGGGTTCCTTTTGTGGTTCAGCACAACAGTAAACAAAGCGTGGAGATGGATGTAGACCACATGTGGAAAGCCCGCCAAGCCATTTTATGTGGCCCACAAGGGGTTTAAAGGTATAATTTATTATTATGTTGTGACTCTTTGCCGCTACTACATCTCCCACAATGCACCGCCGTTGTTTCCCGTGAAGTGACTGCATCTCGCCACTAGAGAGGCCAAGAAAACTCATCAAATTTCCCCCAAAAATGTCCAAGAAAAGAAAAATTGATGCAGAAGGACGACTATTTCATGAATGTTACTGAAGGAGCAGTGTTGGGGAGTAACAGATTACATGTACAAGAGTTACGTAATCAGAGTACAATTTATGAGTAACTGTATTACAGTTACTGTTTCAGTGAGTGGTAATTGGATTACAGTTACTTTGTTGAAATAAATGGATTACATGGCGTTATTTTCACATTTTGGCTATATCCCTTTTTTTTTTGTTTTTCGGTAATTCCACTCATTGCCGGACACTAAACCAGGTCTAAATCTGGATTGAACCAGGACTGAACCCAGGTCTAAACCAGGACTAAAACCAGGTTTAAACTAGATCTAAACCAGGTCTAAACCAGGACTAAAACCAGTGCTAAAACCAGGTCTAAACCAGGACTAAAACCAGGTTTAAACTAGATCTAAACCAGGTCTAAACCAGGACTAAAACCAGTGCTAAAACCAGGTCTAAATCTGGGCTAAAACCAGGTCTAAACCAGGTCTAAACTAGATCTATACCAGGTCTAAAACAGGATTTAAAAGGACTAAACCATGCCCGTGCGGACCGTGTTTCCTCCTCTTCTATCAATAATATTTTTAATTTGGTTCAGTAAAGTCTGGGCTTTTTATTTTTCTTTTAGCAGACAAAACGTCTTATGTGAAGATTTCCTCACCTTTGCTTCTTTACAGAAAATCAAGTAATCCAAAGTATCCAGATTACGTTACTCACCCTAAATAATTTAATGGATTACGTTACAAACTACATTTTGGGATATAT